TCAGAGATAAAGAAATAAGATCAAAGTGCAATTTCCACCTGCAAACTCTCTCTACTTCTATTGTTTCCAGCAGTTGGATCATATACAGGAGCAGAAAGCAGTCCATTCAATGTAAAATTGCAAAATCCTGTATTTTTAATCTCTGTTAATTGAGCACTCATATTTCCACAACTCTCATTCCTCTCCATTTGATTGCATTGCTAAGAAATTTTAGGAGACATGCAGAACAGTGTTTTTTAACCTGGCCAACTTGAAAATGAGTATACTTCAATTCCCCAAATTCCTTGGCAGCATGGGAGTTGAAGTGCACACATCTTAAAGTTGCCAAGCTTAAGAAACATTGATCTAGATGGGGCAAATTAGCCCTGAAACAAACAAAAGCAAGTGCTTTGTTAAACTGACATAACAAGTCTGTTATACCTTATATCAGGGGTGTCAAACTGCCGGCCCGCGAACTGGATGCATCATGCCAAAACCATGCCCATCCCATTGTCGGCAATGGGAAAAAAGTCGCAATACGTCGCAACATGTCATGTGACATTGCACGTGTGATACCCATACCTTATATAATCATTGGCTGATTGTTGGCAATACTTTACCCACTGCAAACTTAAAGCATTTCATTTCTTCTTTTTAGTTTCCTAAAGCAAATGATCAAGGTTCCATGCAGATGCACAATCCAAAGAGACTTAATTTAAGTACAAGAAAGAGAACGCTGCCTTAGGTAAGTCTTTGGACAATATTGTGCTCCAATGACATGTCTTCATTAACAATCAGCCAGTTGTGCAATTCATTACTCTCTAATGGTAATGATGATACAGTCCATTTGAAAGAACAGATTTGTTATTTCAAAATCTCTATCCAAAGGGAGCACATGAACCATCCACATGTATTTTATGTCCAAGAATCTCCCAAATGTGCACTACTAGAGCGAGCCTGTTATCTTGTGCCTAAAATAATTTAAAAAATCATTCTCTCTGTCATTTGATGAGCCTAAATTAAGGGAAACATTCACTCAGCTCGCCACATTCCGGCTTCATGTGTGGATTGCCGGGGCAATTTAGCTTGGCTTCCCCTGGGGTTTTACTTGCATTGTTGTCACCAGGCACTCTGAAAAGAGAAACTGTACAAAGGAGCACAGAAGACATTTGTATATACTAGAGATGCATATGGTAGAACATACTGCAACTTAATATGTGCAGTGTTGCAGAGTGTGCCTTTTAAAGGCCTGTACTATTAAACTTGAATTGGTAAATAAAAAGGATGATTTCAGGGGTTTTTTTCCCCTCTAGCTTAGATCTGTATAACTTGCATCCCAGTAAATTGAATACTCTCTATGAGTCATATGCTATGATTTGCACTTGATTGATAGCTGCTTTGGTTTATGCAGCTCCAGGCAGGCGCAGGGGAAAAAAAGAGTCCTCTGATTTATTATTTGTGGACTTGAGTCCCTTGTAGCCTTCCAGGTGTGGCTGAACTAAACCCTCCAATATCCTTCATGACTGGACAAACTGGCTGGGCCTGCTAGGAGTTGAAATTCAGTCACAACATTAAGTTACAAACAATTGGGATGCACTAATCTGTGGAAATCCAATCCAAATTTTCTTTATAGGTAATTATTTCTAGAGAAGGAGCAGTGTTGTTCTTTAAATAAAAATTATGTAGCACAAAAATTGGGAGGAAGGAGGTGTGGCTCGGGGAATTATATCCGATAGTATGGTGCTATTATAGGTATAGAGAGGGTCAATTCTGCTAATTTTTTCTTGTTTCAAATTTCTTAACTTGCTGTCAATAAATTCTCTTCACTCTTTACTGGTCCAGCTAGCAAAGATTATTACACATTTTTGCAAATAGTTTTCAGAACTTTTAGCATGTTTTTCTCTGTAATCCCATTTCTATACCCCTTAGGAAATTTGTCTGTGCATGTACGTGTTGAACTGTCATATAGAAAATGTGAAGTTCATCATAAATGTTTTCCCAGGTTATTAGATATGTAACCAGATCAGAAACAGGTGTACTTGGTTTAAAATATCACCTTTCAAAGCCTACATGGCATTGGACTTGGTTGATTTGTAAGACTACCTCTCTCCAAGAATATCTGCCTGTCCCAGTAGATCAGATAAGGTGGGGAGGCTCCAGGTCCCATCCCTGAAATGTTGCCATGTAGTGGGACTTCAGAAGAAAGTTTTTTTTGTGGCTGCTCCTACCTTGTGATATACCCTCCCACCAGCAATTCAACAGACCCACACCCTTCTAGTTTTGGAAGGCCGCTAACACTTGGGTTATTTTACTTATTTGTTTTATTGTTGTGACCTGTTCAGAGTTACTTAAGATGGGCAGCATATACATATTTTAAATAAATAAATTCTAACTAATGGTTTGCATCTTTATAGTACAAATACAGCCTAAGATTGTCAGTAATTATATTTGTGTTGACAAATGTCTTAATTTAAAACCCAAATTTACTTCCAAAGCTACACATAATCACACTGGTATTATTGTTGGAGACAGGGGTTTTAGGTATGTTTGCCATCATGTATGTGTGTTTGTGTGTGTGTGTATTTTGTGGGATAAAATAATGATGATAATAATAATAATAATATTGAATACTCATCTTTGTGCTCTCATGACCACTTTTATTTTTTTATATTTACATTAATTTTAACATTGTGGCTATCATATTCACAAACGTCAACTAGTGCACATTCTTACACTTGAAACACACAACTTTCCATTGGGGCCTCAGTGCAGTCCATAGCTTGTAGCAAGAAGCTGGACAATCATTTTTCATTTATATTTAATTGGCTTTTCTACATACTGCAAAGGGTTGGGAAAGACCAACCTTTTCATTCCTTCCAGCTTTGCAGTTCTATGACTCTATAATTCTAGTATTTGGATGAGGGCCATCAGAAGTGCTAGGTTTGGAGGCAGGACTGGGAAATAAAATAAAATCCCAGGAAAATGGCAACAGCCAATGACTCTCAACAACATTGCCTGGGCCAGGCCATAAAGTCACCAAAAGTCAAGCTCAATTAAAAAGAGCTTTTGCTTCATAGTATAAGCCGCCTTCTAGTGGAAATAACATTCTGTTTTTGAAAATCATAACACATATTTTATCATCCCATTGCTCAATCCCTACAGAGTCCTTGTTGATTACTGTTATATTGCTGTTCAATTTCTGATTTTAGATCCATGCCATTGGCATGGAAAATATATGGAAACTAATGTTGTATCAGCCCTGTTATCTTCATCTGCCCAATGAAAAACAAAATATTTGGGGAACTACATATATTCACACAATAGTCACATCCATACCTATGAAGCATACTGTAGATTATTAAACTGGACCAGCTTTTCCTGGACACCCCCCAAATATGTAGACTTCAACTTTTAACACTCTTAGCAATTACTCTGCTGACCTGAGAATTCTGGATTCCAGCTTGAGATGTATTTATTTGTTATTTATTTATTTTCCAGTGGAGAAGCTACACATTGCCTGAGCATGCACCTGACAAACATGTTAAACTAAACACAGAGAGAACAGGAACAGCAATATTGGCAACAAATGGTGATGAGGCCAAAATGAAAACCTGGGCACAGTGACATAATTACAGCATCTTTCTAAATTGTTCTGGACATATTTGTCATTTGTCCCTACTCCAACAAGCACCCATAAGTGAGAGCATTCCTCTAGTTCAGTGGTTCTCAACCTTTCTAATGCCGCGACTCCATAATACACTTCCCCATGTTGTGGTGACCCCCAACCACTTATACATCACCGGGTGCCAGGGGCGTGGCCAAAGAAAAGGGGGGAAAATGGCGGACAGCCTTGTTTGGCGACCCCCGTGAAATGGTCATTCAAACCCAAATGGGGTCCCGACCCACAGGTTGAGAACCATTGCTCTAGTTGCTTTATACCAGGAATGCAGAATGTTTTAGATGTTAGTCCTTTCTTTTCTTAGAAGTGCCTATTGGAGATCAATAGGTGATTGATTACTTTTATTAACTCATTGCAAACTGCCTTGAGTTTTATTTAGTGACAAGGCTGGTGGATATAAATTATCTCATTGAAGCAAATTAATCCAAGCCAGAGAGAGAGAGAAAGAGATGGAAATTGTGTCTTTTGAAATGCTCAAGGATTTAAAAATCACTGTGTGCAAATTTGGCAACCATATACATCAAATAAATAGAAAAATCAGAGGAAAGTATATGCATCAGTGTCTCCTTGTCAAGTTGACACTCACCTTCACTAATCAAGAGAAGGCTGGTTTCTTTTCCCTCTTCCTTAAAACCGCAGTTTGCTTGTGCCAAAAGTTGTGATCAGTTGGAAAAGTCAGCACAGTTCAGGAGAAAAAGTAGCAAATCCACTAAGCAACATTCTCTTCTTTCCCCCCAAACACTTAATAAATCAGCAAGAAGAGCAGAGAGATAACATTAGCAGGTTATTACTTCCATTCTTCACTGTGCAAATTGGTTACTTATTGTTTTCTTTCAACATGGCCATAATAGCCAATATGTAGGGAGCAGAAAAAGCACAGCAAAATGACAATTGCTATTAAACAGAGAAATTCTGATTGATATATTCCAAAGCAGAATAACTAGAATTTTGAGATATTTTCTTCTTCTGTTGATAAGAGATAATCACATAATTGTACTTATGTCTGTTCCAAAGTAAATCCTATTGATGACAATACATCTTATTCCATGGTAAGTGGATATAGCATTGCAAACCAATCATTCCTCAGCCATATTCTCTATGCCAATAGAAACTACTTAAACTTATTCAAGATCTGAACAACAGTTACTCAACTTCAATAACTATAAAAGAATGGGGAAGTTGGCAAAGTAGCAAATTTGCCCAATATGATACAAATATGCAATAATCCCAGTACTTTATTCTAAGTAGGGTTGAATGGCTTCTAGATGAGAAGCTAAGACAGACTGGATGTCTTTGAAGGAACAGAGAAGGCATTGTGGCAGAGATTGGGGACTGGGGCAATTTTTCTAGATAAGGATAGATTATGAGAACAGCCACTTGTGCTCCAGACAGTTGTTTCTCATGAAGAGATTGCAGGAACTGAGGTTTTTGTGGTTAACTCATGAGTTATATAGCTGGGAGTCAATCAAACTCACAGTTGTAATGCAGCCTATATGGACACAAGGTTTGCAAAAGCCTCATTTTCTTAAACATTCTGAGTATAATTAATGTATAGCTAAAGAGACTTTTTCTGAGCAGCAAGATAAGGGAAATTCCCTTGGTGTATTAATATTTTTTTTTGGATTAAAAAGCGGGAAAAAAGGTTTCCGAGATTTAAAAAAAAGTTAGCAAAAAGTTTAACAAGGATTAGATATAAGAAAGTTTAAATCAGATAAAGGAAATAGCAATTTTGAAAGACTACTTTTTGATGTAAGTGCTGTTGAACAAATTGGAGTTAAAACAAATGGATTGGACCTTCATGGGAAATTTTTTGCTTAGAGTTAAAGAATGCAGACAATTGGTGGATTTTACAAAATAAAAGATAAAGGTAATATGAACCTGACTCTACACTACTGTACAGAGTACCATTTGAGCTGGAAGTATTAAGAGTACAGAAAGACAAAACAGAAACGAAAAGAAAGCTTGTCTGTTGCTCATTCTCTCACAAGTGAAACATTTTTACTTTTGGATTATAATATTACAATGGCAACCGTGAGAAAACTGGCAGAAATAGCAGAGGGGAAGATTATTGCAGCAACTTGCAGAAAGGTGAATTATACCACATTTGCTTCAGAAAATGTTTTTATTTATTTATTGCTTTTAACATAATAACAGAAAAAGAAAAGTTTTAAAAGAATGATAGTTATATAAATGAATTAGAAATGAATATATGCATAATATTGAATAATATTTACATTAGATACATATAGCATTTTAAGCACAGGGATAATTATAATAAAAGCACATGCATTCTCAAAAGAAAAAAACAAAAAGTTGTGAAAAAGTGAAGAAATACAATGGAAAAAAGAAAGAAAAATAAAGTATAATATATTGATATAAGAGTTAACACAATTCTATGAATACATGTTGTATCTAATGTAAATATTATTTACATTAGATTATGAAAAGACCTGCAACAATAAGGGAAGTTTGTGAAGCTATAAACCAGGAAAGGTACCTGGATTACCAATACAAAGTGCAAAAGAAAGAAGAGGTTTGGAACTACCTGATTTGAGATTGTATTTTGCTGCTTTGTTTGGATGAAAGAATGGGTGAAGCTGAGAAATAGAAGACCTTTGGAATTAGAATGACATAACTTGAGATTTGGATGGTATGGATATTTGAATGGTTGCTAAATGAAATCCAGGATTACCTGTATATTTTAGCATGATTTTTGCCTTAGTTAATTATCATAGGACTGGGAACTATGGCTTCAAGCTAGAATCAAACTTTCTGCTTTCCTTGTTCTCTCCAAATAGAAAAAAAGAAAAAGAAAAAGAAAGAAAAAAAGATATAAAGAAGAGGTTTCCAATCTCCTTTACAGCAGCTACAAGTACAATTATAGATTTACCCCTTTTTATAAAGTTGCATCGTGACTAGATTTCTATAATCTGTAATAATTAATTGAAGGTAGATTTGTGGCTTGGTGTTTGGTTTTGGGTGCTGGTGAGAAATAGAAGGCTTTTGGCAGTGCTTTTTTGTAAGAAAAAGGTGCCAGAACTCACATCTTGTTAATCTTTTATTATATATATATATATATATATATATATTTTCTGAGGTTTTCGCGGGTGTTTGTATGTAGGTCTTTGGTTGTTCGGGTTTTCTCCCGCGTAAAATTGGAAGTGTCTTGGCGACGTTTCGACGAAGTCCCATTCGTCATCTTCAGGCTGGTGTTTTCAGCTTCGTGCTTCGAGCAGCTGCTCGAAGCACGAAGCTGAAAACACCAGCTGCTCGAAGCACGAAGCTGAAAACACCAGCTGCTCGAAGCACGAAGCTGAAACACCAGCCTGAAGATGACGAATGGGACTTCGTCGAAACGTCGCCAAGACACTTCCAATTTTACGCGGGAGAAAACCCGAACAACCAAAGACCTACATATATATATATATATATATATATTTGTTTCTGAGGTTTTCGCAGATGCTTTTATGTAGGTCTTTGGTTATTCGGGTTTTCTCCCACGTAAAATTGGAAGTGTCTTGGCGACGTTTCGATGAAGTCCCATTCATCATCTTCAGGCTGGTGTTTTCGGCTCCGTGCTTCTAGGAGCACGAAGCCAAAAACACCAGCCTGAAGATGATGAATGGACTTCGTCGAAACATCGCCAAGACACTTCCAATTTTACGTGGAGAAAACCCGAATAACCAAAGACCTATATATATATATATATATATATATATATATATATATATATATATATATATATATAAATTATATATATATTAAAAATTAAAATAAAAAAAAGATTTTCAATTCACCAACAATTTTTTAAAATAAAGAAATTATTTACCTTTCGCACATAGTCAATCACTGTACACACACCCACATATGTCAGTTGTGTAACGAAACATAATGGTCGCCGCCCACAGTAAGCACTCAGTCTGTGACCACATGACCAATCACAAGATGAGCAGTGCCAGAAGCCAAGCAGCACCATCACAACCAGTGCAGACAAAGTACGCATGCATTGGATTCGACACACAAGCAGCCTGCATGGACCATTTTAATGATTTTGCCGCCGACCTGCTATGCTCAACAGGTGATTCAAGTCCACGTGTACCAAACGTCACATTTTCAAAAGTTACTTTTAAAATTTGGAAAATCCAAAAAAAGGTACCGGAACTCTGTTCCGGTGTGTTCTATGACAAAAAAAGCACTGGCTTTCGGAATTAGAAGGACATGACCTGAGATTTGGATAGCATGAATATTTGTGATATAATGAAGTTAATGTAGATTTTAAAAATCACTATGTTAGACTTGCCATATGGAGACTATGGAACAGATACAAACACAGGTTGTGCCCAAAACACACTTTTGTAGTTCCCAGAACAAGTAGCATTTTATAGATGAGAAATTTAAACTAACACAAATGGCTTACTTATTGTGAGAAACTAGAATTTTGTCAGGGGAAATATAAAATAAAATAAAGAGAAGAACTGGTGATGGAAGGATATATTTGTCAATGTTTTTTTATTTATTTACCATTATCAGAAAGTTTTAAAGGAAACAAAAGAGTTTATGGTATTGAATGCAGTAAAACTGATTTTGAAATAAAATTGTATACAGATGATGAAAATGTAATTGTTAGCCCTTGGTGCTCTCTGAGCTTGATTGTTTTCCTGCAGATGCACTGATGATGTTACCTAGTTTGGTAATGAAACATCTGCAAGAAAACAACCAAGTTCAGAAAGCACCAAAGAGCCCTGCAAAATATATACCCATTTTATTGAAATTTGATATAGAGAGGAACAAACAAAAGAATGTATAATAAAGTGGGCTAAATTTTGGTTATCATACACAGGTGGAAGAGTGTGAAAATATGTGGTTGTAACAGAATGTAAATTTCAAATAGAATTTTTATAAAATGATGTGCCAGTGATATTTGACACTGAAGAAATTGTTGAAAATGTATAAAGGCACTTCAAAATTGTGTTGAAAAGAAGGGACATTGTTTATTTAGCCATATTTCTGATCAGAATTTATATTGCTGGCTAAATACCAAGAGTCTGCACAAAGTCAGCAATACATATATACCATAAATAATCAGAATATTATTTAGCATTCATCTTTAACAGCAACATAATAGGGATATGCAGTATGTTGAGATAGCTGAATATGCCAGCATGACAAAATGTTTTTTGACAACTTCTATTGAATCTGGCTAATGGTGATGAGTGAAAAATTGCATTTGGTTCATTACTCAGAAAAAACTTTTCATGGAGGAGAAAGAATTTGATGGCTGTAGGCAAAATGGAGCAATTCATCAATTTCAACATCTCTAAAATATATATTTTAAAAAATAGTGCCTTCATTCTTTTTTGGATATGGATTGTAAATTACAACAGAAGAATTCGGCTATGTTTATGCATGAATGGACTTTTAAGGAGTTTTCTTCATGTCCTCTAATTGTGACAAAGAGAACTCAGCAACTGTCTGGGGGATAATTGGTGGTCTTTTTTCTCACTAGCTTCTGACACAGGATGTGTTATAGTCTGCTTTAATTCTTTGGAATCGGGGCTGAGGGCCTGATCCATTGAGTTGCCAGGCTCAGGAGCCACAAGGCAACCAAACAGCTTAATCAGCATGATCAGGTAAAGGTGAACTCAAATGGTAACAAGCCAAATCCTAGTAGGGTCCCTGGTTGCAAGATACATTTGCACAATGTTTCTCAACCTCAGCAACTTTAAAATGTGTAGACTTCAATTTCCAGGATGCCACAGCTAGCCATGGGCAAGGTTGAGGCTGAGAAACTCAGTGAAATTCAGTGGTGAAAAAAGTAAGGTTCTACATTTAGGCAAGAAAAATCAAATGTACAGGCATAGTATAGGGGGTACCTTGCTCAATAGTAGTAACTGTGAGAGGGATCTTGGAGTCCTAATGGACAATCACTTAAATATGAGCCAGCAATGTGCTGCAGCTGCCAAAAAGGCCAACACAGTGCTAGACTGCATTATCAGAGGGATAGAATCAAGATCACGTGAAGAGTTAATATCACTTTACAATGCCTTGGTAAGGCCACACTTGGAATACCGCATCCAGTTTTGGTTACCACAATGTAAAAAAGATGTTGAGACTCTAGAAAGAGTACATAGAAGAGCAACAAAGATGATCAGGGGACTGGAGGCTAAAACATATAAGGAATGGTTGCTGGAATTGGGTATGTCTAGTCTAATGAAGAGAAAGACGAGGGGTGACATGATAATAATGTCCCAATATCTCAGGGGCTGACACAAAGAAGGCTGACACAAAGGACAAGAAGCAATGGATGGAAACTCATCAAAGACAGAAGCAACCTAGAACTAAGGAGAAATTTCCTGACAGTCAGAACAATTAATCAGTGGAGCAACCTGCCTCCAGAAGCGGTGAATGCTCCAACACTGGAAGTTTTTAAGAAGAGACTGGACAAACATTTGTCTGAAATGGTATAGGGTTTCCTGCCTGAGCAGGGGGTTGGACTAGATGACCTCCAAGGTCCCTTCCAACTTTATTATTATTATTATGGATCATCGCACAGTCAGCCAGATGTTCAGACTGGATTTGGCATTTTGTCTATCTATCGAGTCCTTACCCAGGACCTGGGATAGACAGATGTGGATGTTTGATGGTATTACAGATATCGTTGCAGGATTGAAGCAGTTCCTAGTAAGGCCGCCTTTTGCAATTGACTAATAGTGAATTTCTCAATGCCAATGGTGTTCAAGTGGTGCTCCAGTTGTTTTGGGATTGCACCCAAGGAGCCTATTACTATTGGTACTACCCTTGCTTGCTTTTGCCACAGTCTTTCTATTTCTATTTGTAGGTCTTTGTATTTTGTTATCTTCTCCAGTTCTTTCTCTTCTATTCTGCTGTCTCCAGGCACTGCCACGTCCACTATCCAGACTTTTTTGTCTTTCTTATCGACAATTGTTAAGTCTGGGGTGTTATGTTGCAGGTGCTTGTCTGTTTGAATTCTGAAGTCCCAGAGCAGTTTAATTTTATCATTTTCTATGACTTTCTCTATTTTATGATCCCACCAGTTTTTGCTTACAGGCAAATTATATTTTTTGCTGATCTTCCAATGCACCATTGTTGCTACTTTGTCATGCCGTTGCTTTTAGTCAGTCTGTGCAATCTTCTTGCAACAGCTTACCAAGTGGTCCACTGTTTCTTCAGCTTCTTTGCATAGATGGCACTTACTGTCTGTTGCTGTCTTCTCAATTTTGACTTTGTATGCATTTGTCCTTAAGGCTTGATCTTGTGCAGCCAGAATTAGTCCCTCGGTCTCTTTCTTCAATTTTCCTGCTCTTAGCCATTGCCAGGTTTTATTATTATCTGCTTTCCCAGCTATTTTTTTCACGTATTGGCCATGTAGTGCTTTATCTTCCCATGCCTCTATTCTGTTCTTCATTTGGTCTTTCTTGTAGGCCAGTTTGGTCTCTCCAGTAGTTAGTAAGCCTTCCTGATATACTAATTTCAGTGCATTTTCATCATTGTTCTTCAGATATTCTTTCAAAGCCATTTTTTCTTCTTCAACCATCTGATGTACTTGTAGCATTCCACGCCCATCTATTTGCCTTGGTAGATAAAGTCTATCAATGTCACTGCATGGATGAAGGGTATGATTCATTGTCATTATTTTTCTGGTCTGCCTATCCATTGTTTTTAGTTCTGCTTGAGTCCAGTCTACTATTCCAGCTGTGTACCTAATGACTGGGATTGTCCAGGTGTTGATTGCCTTTATGGTATTTCCTCCATTGAGTTTGGACTTTAAGATCTTCTTCACTCTCTTGATGTATTCACCTCTAATCTTTTTCTTGACTTCAGTGTGCTTGATGTTGTCAGCTTGAAGGATAC